ATGGTGTTTATAATGGGGGGTTCAAGAACGGAGAGGGAGGAATGTGATGAAGAGGGCCATCTGAACTATAAAAGCTATGGAGCCTCAATAATTAAGAGTTCAGTACGAGAGAAGACTACAAACTTGAGGAATAAAGACAACTACAGAAACAGACGCACGAAAACGGAACACTGGTTTCTGGCAGGGTTTCTCAATCTCAGTGCTGCTGCTGACCAGTTTGGACACTGGGGCCAGACATTTGCCACATGTCCCCCAGAAGGCACACTGCCTCTGGCTGAGAACCACTGTTCATGACAGTGATGGTATTTCACAGTGGGGACTGGGAGAACAGGTAATCATTATTTTAAAAATTGCTAAATAATATTGAAATGATTGGCAACTGGTCTGTAATGTAAAGGACCATGAAACATGTAGCTGAATCCATCTTTAATCCATTTGTAATTTTAAATTAATTTTTAATTTTATAAACAATAGATGTATAATTTATCCTGGTAAAAACCAAACATTACAGTTCTATATTATAATCATCCCTTCCACCTCAGAGACAACCACTAGTAGATTCGAATATATTCTTCTAGGAGCTTTTGCTAGGTATTTATATATATACATACACTTGTAGAATATAAAATTTGATTGGAAAAAAAAAGTTCTGAAAGAAAGCACTGATTTCTGACCTAATATATATGAGGAGTTTATAAGTAGAACAGACAACCCAGAAGTCATAAAACATTATGGAGTTAGAATTTGTAAAAATTTTTCAATTTTTTAAAATATATTTTATTGATTTTACCCAGAGAGGAATTGAGAGGGAGAGAGAGTTAGAAACGTAGATGAGAGAGAAACATCAACCAGCTGCCTCTTGCACACCCCCCACTGGGGATGTGCCCGCAACCGAGGTACATGCCCTTGACCGGAATCGAACCTGGGACCTTTCAGTCCGCAGGCCGACGCTCTACCACTGAGCCAAACCAGTCCTAGCTTTTTCAATTTTTTATATAGCAAAAATTCCATAAAGTTGTAAAGCAAATAAAAAGAGAAAATAATTTTCCAATACAAACAAGAGATAATTTCTTTAAAAAAAAAAAAAAAAGATATAAATTATTAAGAAAATGAGTATCAAAGGAAATGGCAGTTAAATAGAAAATAATTACAAATTCCAAGAATCACTCAAAGAAATGAGCATTAAAAAGGAGACCTGGTGCTTTACTTATTATACTAGAGGCCCAGTGCATGAAATTCGTGCATGGGGGCAGGGAAGCTGTCCCTCAGTCCAGTCTGCATCCTCTCCAATCTTGGACCCCTCAGGATCCCTTTCACAATCTGGGTCTGCTGGGTCCTAACCACTTGCCTGCCTGCCTGCCTGATCGACCCTAACCGCTTCTGCCTGCCAACCTGATTGCCCCCTAACCACTCCCTTGCCGGCGGGATTGATGCTTAACTGCTCCCCTGCTGGCCTGATCACCCACAACTGCCCTCCCCTGCCAGCCATCTTGTGGCAGCCATCTTGTGACAATGTCACATGAGGGCATGACACCACCTAAGATTTTATTATATACTTAGTAAGTATAATGACACCCCACAGTGAGTGAGGGCATCTAACAGTGTTTGGAAATCTTGGCACATGTTCTTTGACCTTGGAATTGCAGTCCTAGTAATTTATCATGTGTATGCTGGTAGTACTTACAAAAGTTTGACAAAATGGAATAGCAAAACACTACAAACCTAAATGTCCACTAAATAGACACCAATTAAATAAAATATGGCATCTCCATACAAAGTCAACACAGAGAATGAGGCATCCTTCTTAAAAAGCTCCAAGGTAGAGAGAATCCAAGATGGCTGCACAGGTAAACACCTAGCCGCAGCCGCACACAACAATTTCAATAAAATACAATTAAAATATAAAATGGACATTACCCAGAATTACAGGAAAGTCGACTAACTGGAAATTCTACAACGAGAAGCAAGGAAAACACCAGAAGGAAGAGCGGAGGAGCTGGAAAAGCCTGAGGTACGGAGACACGCGGCGCGCACGGAGAGGCAGTCCTGGAGGTGCGCACACTGTGCGCAGAGGACGGACTGTTGACTCTGCTGCCAGATTGCCCTGGCGGGAAGGAGACAAAGGCTGTGCTGGGCCCCAGTTCCGACTCCTCTGAACCCCAGTTCTAGGCCAGATCCCAGGGACCCAGGCTCAAACAAAGGGAGCTGGGCTGTAAGGTGGAACCCCGGGGGAGCGGCTAAAGGAGGTCCAGGAGGCGTGCACATTGCACGCAGAGAAGGGACGGTTGGCTGTGCCACGGGATTGCCCTGGCAGGAGACAGGGGCTCCAGACTACTCTGAACGCCACCTCCAACCCCACTTCCAACTGAACTGAACCCCAATACCGGGCTCATTGGGGGAAAGCCTAGGCCGTTTGGTAGCAGGCAAAAATTGAGGACACCTTTCTCTCAGAGGTGCTTGCAGCGAGTACTGAAGGACCCTGGCGATTACTGAGACTCAGGAGCCGCATAGGGCGTGGCTGACGGAAGCCAAGCCTGTAGGCTCCACCCATAGGGAAGCAGCCAAAATGCCAAGACAACGAAATAGATCACAAACGAAAAAAATGGAGGACAAAAAGTGACTGGATATAGAGTTCAAAACCACACTTATAAGGTTGTTCAAGAATCTCCTAGAAAAGGCCGATAAAATAAACAAGACCTATGAGGATATGAAAAGGGATCAACTAGAAATAATAAGGGATCAACAAGAAACAAAGAATGCATTGTCTGAAATAAAAAATATTATACAGAGTCCTAAAAACAGAATGGAAGACCACAAGAATCAAGTCAAAGATTTGGAACATAAAGAGCCAGAAGACACTCCTCCACAGAAGCAAGAAGGCAAGAGAATCCAGAAAATTGAAGATAATGTAAGAAACCTCTGGGACAACTTCAAGCGAACCAACAACAGAATTATGGGGGTCCCAGAAAATGAGAGAGAATAAGATATCGAAAACATACTGAAAGAAATAGTGACAGAAAACTTCCAGGAAGCGCACATAACTCCAAACAAAAGGAATCCAAATAAGACCACACCAAGACAAATCATAATTAAAATTCCAAGAGCAAAAGACAAAGAGAGAATATTAAAAGCAGCAAGAGAGAAACAGGTAGTTACCTAAAAAGGAGCACCCATACAATTGTCAGCTGATTTCTCAACAGAAACCATGCAGGCCAGACGGGAATGGCAAGAAATATTCAAGGTGATGAATAGTAAGAACCTACAGCCAAAGATAATCTACCCAGCAAAGCTATCACTCAGAATCGAAGGTCAGATAAAGAGCTTCACTAATAAAAAAAAGCTAAAGGAGTTCATCACCACCAAACCAGAATTATATGAATTGCTGAAGGGGGTTCTTTCAGAAGAGAAAGTAAATAAAGATAAAAATTATGAACAACAAATACGTAACTATCAACAAGTGAATCTAAAAACCAAGGAAATTAAAAAAAAAAATCTGAGGAACAATATTAACTGTTGAATATAATAGAATCAGAGGTATAGAAGGGGAGTGAACTGACGATTCTTGGGGAAAAGGGGAGAGGGGGATGTGGGAAGAGACTGAACATAAACTGTGCACGTATGGATGAGGACAATGGGGGGTGGGGAAAGGGCAGAGGGTGGGGTGGGAACCTGGTGGAGGAGAGCAATGGAGGGAAAAAAGAGGAACATTTGTAATAATATGAACAATAAAGATTTATTTAAAAAAAAAATAAATTAAAATAACCTCACACACACACAAAAAAAAAAAAAAAAAAAAAAGCTCCAAGGTATATTTTGTTAAGCATGCTGCAAATAATGAAAATATCATGATCACTCCTGTGAGAGGGAGGGAAGGAGACGGACTTATGCTACCTGGGCTATTTGACTCACAAATCCAATCCAAATTGGAATCAAAGGGTTCAATTATATTTTTGAATGAACCCTCTCTATCTGAATTTGTTCTATTCAAGAACCAAAGTGGTTCAAATATCAGTGGGATACTTGTGCATATATAAAAACATATGTGATGTGGATGCATGCCCTTTATCCCTGGAAGAAATCACAACAAACTGTTAAGATATAACCTGCTTTTAATCACTTCCTACTTTGTGCCTTTCTGCATTATATGAATGTCCTACCATTATATACATTACTAGAGGCCCAAGGCATGAAATTCATGCAAGGGGCTTGCCCGGGAGCCCCAGCTGCCTCATGGCCCCACTCCTCACCCATTGGTCCTTTCGAACGATTGTCCTAGAAGATTGTCCCAGAAGGTTGTTATGCTATATTGTCCAATTAGCATATTAGCTCTTTATTATAGGATTTCTGAATAATCTATCTGAATTTTTAAAATTCCTAACCATTACCCATTATTTAAAAGTGTCAACAGAACCCTGCAAAGGGAGATTAACAGCTCATTTCTAGTCTTTGAACTGCTATCGATAGTATATAAAAGCCAATTAATAACTACTATCACTGTGAGATCTGCAGAAAAAGAAAAATGCAAAAAAGAAACATTTTAAGTTTAGTTTTTTAAATACTAAATTCTTAGAAAATTAAATGCCCTAAGACCACCAGGTATTTTTCACTAGAAAAGGAAACTACATTTAGGAAAGGAAAAAAAAGTTAAGTATGCTATCTAATAAAACAGTAATATGCAAATTAACCATAGTCCATCACAAAGATGATGGCACCCCGTCCTCTCAGGCCTGCTGGAATCCCCCCGTCCTGGGGCTGAGCCGCGGAGAGTGGGCAGTGTGAGTGGCCTGGCAGAATGCTTGCTTTGTCGCCGCAGCCACGAGGCAAGCATTCCGCGCCTGGCCTCGGATGGGCTTCTGGGCCTCGGAGAGCCTCTGGGCAGGGGCGTGGAGTGGCCAGCCCCGGCACGGACTTGTGCACAGGGCTACTAGTGAGACTATAAACACTGCAGAACTATTTCCTAAATGTTCATTTTTGACACCGTAGAGTTATATACTACTTACCCAGCTTGGAAAATCAGACCAAGTTGGAACTCGCTGACAAAGGTCCCGGAGAATACGTATGATAATCACACAGGACTGCAGGCCGTTAGCTCTAGCCTTGAGAGCAACACAAAAATCAATTGAGTTAATCTTAGAAATATTGAAAATATCCCTTGATGAAAAGAAGTTAAAATACCGCTGTTCAATGGAAGCTCAGATAAAAATGAAACAAAAATAATCACAACTTGAAATTGGATTCAATGAGCTGCCATTTACAGCAGTATTTTATGTGAGGGTTAGTATTTAAAAGCTGGTATTTTAGGTCAAAGTAAACAGATTATACAAGAATAATATTTCTTGATACCCTGTGAACCTTGACCTGCAATCATTTAAATCAATAAACTTAAAAAAATCTGCCTACATTGGAAATAAAAGAAAAAGTAAAGAGCTAAAAAGTTTGTCTAGGGACTGAAAGGTTAAAGAAATCTGTTTGGTTTCCCTTCTGTGCCTTTGCATGACTGCAAAGTCACTAAACCAAACAGCTGCTTCCTCACCTTTCACTCCCTACACGAGTTCACTTAGAGAAAGAGGGAGGAGGGGTCTTAAAACTATACACAAAGCTTGAAACACATATTCCATTATGTAAAGCAAAGTTAATCTGCAGCCTTATGGAATATAATATATATACACAAACGTGATGTTCCTACACAAGTTAACTTTAAATATAGCTACCAAAAATAAAAATAAAATAACCCAAACTACAAAGCACTTCCCAAAACCTAAGTTCATTGTCAAATAATAGTAACTGCAATATGCAGATCTTCAAACCCAGCTTTCTATCTCAACTTGTTTTCTGTAATTTAATTTAAAATAGTGTTGCTTGGGCAACCTTCCGAAATGTTTAAACACAGTTAAACATGTTGCACTGAACTACTCTCTCATAAGGCTACAATAAAAAAGTAAAATGATGTTCCGAACCTGGAACCACTTAGCGTGGCGGAGAGCAGCCAGAGCGTCAAGGCATTTTTGCCTGTCCAAGACGTCCGGTGGGTCTTTCACCATACCCGAGGTTACATCTAAAATGGATTGAATTGGCAAAATGCGGTGAGGAATGGGTGTTTGACCAGGTGCGAAAGACACTTCCTTAAAGCAGCATCAGTGTCACACGAGCCATTTGAGAGTTTACCAGCACATTAATGTACCCAGAAAATTATTTTCAACAAATTTACATATTCTAACATGACGATCAAACGGAGACTTAAACTCTTAATTTAGAAATATAATAATTTCTGCAAATATCAACCCTACCCAAAAAATAAAATCCAAAGGAAGGATTACTGGACACAGTGCACCAGCACAAAGATGACAAGACAAGAGGGAACACAAAAATCCACCTTAATAAATGAGAATGCACAAAACGCTACTGAGTTTGTTCAGTATTTTAAATGGTCATAGGTTATTCTGGGGCCAATACCGTAAAGAATTAATGGTAAATATGGAGTGACAACAGAGTAATGATCATAGAAAAAAATAAAGAGGCAAAATGGGCATTTCTAAGAATTTAATACTTTCTCTTCTACAAGGGGATTTTTAGTTGTAAAGGAATACAAAATGCCTTTTAAAATTTCAAACTTCCCAAAAGATATTCCGAAGAGTAACTGGAGAGAAACCATGGGTAACAGAGGAAACGGCAACAGAGACTAGTGTGGTTAAACAGAGTGAGGATAGAAATAGAAGAGATGGGAAAAGCAGAGCAGTAAGGTCTAAGGTTATAATAGTTGATTTTAATAAGATTATTATATTAACACATAAATGAGCTACTAAGGAAATCTGAACCTAAACCAAGACAAGAAGTTAATTTTACAGTCTCAACAGTAGTTGGAGGGCCAGCTTCATATTCACCTAAACATATCTGTCAAATGTGTTTAAATGTAGCAGTTAAATGTAGCAGTAAGTGTGCTGATCAAACTGTTCACAATAGCAATTATGCCCATCAAATTCGCAACTCTTGATGATTTTAACAGTATAAATATTTTTTAAATTATAGGGAAATTATATGCCAAGCATATAATCTACTGAATTTAACAGTTTTCTGGAAAAGAGAACCAGAAGGTGCATCTAGCATATAATCTAATAAATCACTGAGGGTACCAAATGATGAGAGGAAAAGAAGTATGTGATAAAAGAAACAGTTAAACTATTTCATTTTAAGAGTACCACTGCAACTCTGGGCAAGTTATTTGATTTCCATTCAGAAATCTTAAGAGATACTTGTCCGTATTTTGAGTAAATGATATATAAGAAGGTATATTTTAATGATAAAGAATTATATTGCCTATTGTTAGTTCCTACTCCTAAGATAATCAGATGGCAAAGATTTCTCCGAAGACAGTTTAGAAGGGAGATTTACTGATAATCAAAGAACACTGTGTCATACCCTAAGAATGAAAACTAAGAGGAATCTGTGTACTCAAATGAAACTAGCAAGATAAAAATATTAGTTACTTTTAAAAGGTAATAAATAATCTCAAAACCTGCAAGACCAACTACTGAATCAAGAAATATATTGAACATAAGAAATGGGCTATTCTGAGATAAGAAACACAGGAAAGCTCGGCTAACTAAGGAAGGAAAGAAGAAAGGAAAAAAGAACAAGAAAAAAAAAAATCAAACCCACCCACTCCTCAAAGTAGGGTTACAGGACATGCTGAAAGACCCTCTTTCCATGTCCTAATTACTTACATTATTTGCTAAAGCTAGAATGCAAGTAGACGACAGTGTGCAATCTCTTTCTAAAAATGTTTCTAAATTTCTAATGTTAATTCTTAATGTTATAATTTCTGCTAATATGTAAGAAAAGTTTTCTTTTTGGATACAAGCATTCAAACTTTAAAAACTTCATTTACTGATATAATTTCAAAGATGTCAAGACACATACTACAATTTAAAAACAAATTAAGAGCTAGAAAATTTCTGATAGAGTGTGGATTTTTGCACCCATTTTATACTTCAAGTGGATTAACCCCTTAGATATACTGTACTAAAAGCATACTTGTTGCCTAATACCCAGTTAAAACAAAACAAAAATGGGTTAATTTATTTAAAAAAAATTCTTACCCTACATGGATATATTTCATAGAATTTAAGGGGTTAATCACTAGTTAGGAAACATGCTGTGTCCACACTATTTTATGATTAAAAGTTAATAGGAATATATTAATTTAAATTAGCATGGGTATGTAAAATATATAATCCACCCAACCACTTAAAAACTAGTGTGAACACTGCTCAATTCTAGAAGACACAAAGACAAAACAGAACAGCCACACAAGGGACAATAAATGCCAGGCTCTGCATCCAAAATCTCTTCGTAATCAAATGGCAGGTGTGACACTGAGCTTTTGAAAACCTTGGTCAAAAATCCTTCCGATGTCTTGGCAGCAACCCCTGACAGGAATCAATCCCCTCTGCTAGAAGGCTTTGGACCGGGCCTGATAAGCGACAGGTGAAAAAACACACACACAATACTTGACTTGCTGCAGAAACACTCTGTAGCAAGGGTTAGAGCATTTTGAACATTTCAAGTCAATTAAACGTTTACTTAATATTTAACTGTCAAACACCGTACTGTAAAATAGATCTAACATGCGTTTAACAGTTATTTGGACAATTTAATAATTTCCTTTAAATAATTTTTAGCATTAAATGGGATCATTACGCATTAAAGAGGCTACCACACTATGCACAAGTCTCAAGTCTTGTGATTTACAATCACTCTTCCGGCAAAGCCTTCCTTAACCCCTGTTCTAACTCCCCAAAGCAAGCTATAGGCTTTACGTGATTTTAAGACACCGAGCATTGGAGCTGCAGTGAGAGAGAATACATACCGTTATTCTGCAGCAAGAAAGAAGCAATCTTCATAATGAAGCTAAAGAAATGGTTTACTGCACTTATCTGCAGCAAGAACACTCTATCAATGTTTCTACACTTTTGCACATCCAACTTTTCAGCTCAGTGTCTTGAAGTAAAATCTTTCAATTTTGGACTGATCATTTATCTCAGAAATTCAGAACAATAATTCTAAATCAAGTCTGGGTCAGACAAAAATATAATTTTGTTTCCTTTAAAAGGGATAGGTTATTAAACATTCTACTACAACTATGATAACTTGACTTTAGACTCTTGCAACATAATAAAATGACTTGATACAGCACAAGTTAAACAGCCTAAATATAATTGAACAAAATATGCTCTAAAATAAAGCTAAATGGCTATACAAGTATATTTTCACCCTAAATATAGCACCATTTATTTTTAACATGTTATATTAGAAGGTTTTCTCCCTGATCCCTAAGAGTCATTGGCTGCATATGAATTGACCAACTTGACTCAGGAACTGTTTCCAGTAACGTCCACAGCTAAACCCTGAGTAGAAATTCATGTTCATATAAAAGATCCTTTGTACAAAATTCATTTATTTTTAAGGTGCAAAGCTTATAGAACATACAACTCCCGATATGGTTTATACACAAAGTATGCAAAATTAGACAAGTCTCCCAATGACATTTAAATGAAATGTTCTTTTTCTGGGTAGTAAAAGCCCAGTGCTTTAAAAAAAAAAAAAAAAAAAAATTGCTTTGCTGTAAGAAAACAAATTTAAAGTGACAGTAATTGAGAGCCTACTGATGCTATTTTAGACAAAATTTAACATTCAATATATAGTATTCTTTTCTTCTACACATATCACAAAGAACTACTAGTGTAGACTTTAACTCCATAATCAACAACAGCATGAAAGGAAACAAAGTAAATTTTATCTGACCCATAAAACAACAGAACCAACATATGGCAGACACCGACCATGCTTTTTGGCTTAAGCTTTTGAAGCTTTGAAAATGTTACAGAACAGTCCCTAAAGCAACATTGCTGGCACCAGCAGGATTTCACATTCTACAATTGTAAAGTAAATCCTGAACTGTACTAGAACTCACTAACTATACCTACCCTGTTTGTTTTTCAGTATCGCTAGTATAATAGAGGGCTCAAATGCCCGTATCTACATGCAATAGGATACTCTGCATTTATGAAAGTGCTCCAAACCAAAGAACAACCTCAGAGAACTAGAAATATTTTTTTCACAGGACAAGCCAAATCCATGATTACATATATAACAATGCCTTTAAAAATATAACTTATGAGTATTTAACCAATTTTACTTCTGAAACTCTTGTCTTTTTTGTAAGACAAGGCAAGAACAAGAACTTCTTAAAAGAAGTTAATTTTGTGACCCCTTACAGGCAACATTTTATTTTTTCACGTGTTGCGACTATGCCAGTAAGAATAATTTTGAACTTTTTTTTCCAGAAATCTGAGGTTAGCAAGAAAAGAAAAAAATCAAGAAAATCAGTAATACCATGAGTGTTTTAAATAAAAGTACATTACTAAAAAGAACATTTACTTTCTGCGAAATGATCGTAAGTAAAACTGATTGCTATATTAAATCAAATCCATCGAATTCATATGTAATGCCAGCATGTTGCCTTCTAGGGCTTAATGCCATCTCAAAGAGTAGGTAAATGGAAAAAAAAGTTAATAGAAAATAGAAAGTTTAATGGCTTTCCAACCTCCTTCCCTCATGTTCTCTTCTCGAATAATTGGAGACGTTAGGGTGATAGTGACTTGCATTTTGGGTTCCACACATGAATTCAAAATGATTGCCGCTTCAGACACAGCACATTTTATGTCATACTTCTCAGGACTGATAACCTATGGAATGAAGAGAGTAATAATTACCTGGACCTTTACATGACCAGACCAAGCAGTTTCATCAATGCGCTTTCGTCTTTTCACTACCACCACCATTTATTAATATAAGGACCAGATCATAGACTGCTCCCATGGGAAGCCTCGCATTATGTGAAAATATCATTAAGTTATTGCTCCACTTTCTTTTAGAATTGAGTTTCCTTATATCTGTTTCCGTAAAATGGGGACAGTAATTCTACCTTATAGGACTGTTGGAGGAATAAATGAATTAAACACTTAAAGCAGTACTAGCCTGGTACATACATAGTAAGTGCGATATAAACATTAACTATGACAATGATGATGAAGTATTCTATTTCCCTTGTTTATCCACTTGTACAATAAGTGTATTGATTTGGAAAACATATTCTGCTTTTCTCTTATTTAACTGTTAACCAGTTAAGATATAACATTGTCTGCTTTGTGGTTTTACTAAGATGTTTCTTGCAAATTTGCATGGTTCTTTCAAGGACCTCAAACCTCTTCTTTGCTCTCCTCATTGTTCTAGCAGTCTCAAGAGAGTTCCTGTAAGAAGTAGACAATGACAATTCTGCTGGTTCCTAATACTTAAGAGACTCATCCACAATAAGAAACTTCTTCTCTGGAACAACGGTAACACAAAGCAGACAACAGCTTAAGCTCAATCGTGAGCTTCATTATTCCTTGCTATAGTTGCTCGGCTGTGGTCAGGTACTATTTATTCTGACTCATTACAATATCAATAAAATGCCAGTCCTTGGATTTAGAATTCTAATTAAATTGCAAGGCTTTACACATGAAATTATTCAAGGAATTTGTATTTTAAATCTCAGCCTGAGATTCTAATAAGCTAATTTATAAATATTAAAAAAATTCAAACAATTGCTTTTGTAGAACCAATAGGGGCTATTCTATTAATTGTGTATTGCCATGGTTTAATAAATGGACACCAGGGGAGGAATTCCTACTACTGCAGTACAGAGAAAACTGAAAATAACTACAATAAACGAGGGAAATTCAAATCAGAAAGCTTACTTTCTTAATTATATTTTATTAAAAACAAGCATTCAAATAAACAGGCAAGAGGTTCATGATTTTTAAAAGTTAAGCTTGCTATATATGGCCTTTGTTAAAAAAAATCACTTTCTGTTCTGAACTGCCTTCTCTCTGATGACTCAAATCTTAGAAAAAGAACACAAAGAGGACATGCAATTTTACATTTTAGAACAAATTCCTAACATGGCTTCATGCCAGTTACAAGCACTATAAAATCTAAAAAGACAAAGTAGAAAATAACCCTACTAATTCGCACAACCAAGAATAAAAACTCAATATGGAAAGTGAAGCCAAAACCTTAAAAGCTAGCTTAGGTTTAAGCTGAAACAGTAAGCTAGTTCTGCCAGAAACGTTTGAACCGGACCGGGGTAAAAACGAACATTTCCTAACACTTACAGCAAGCTGTTTAGGTAGGTTTTCTGCAATACGGCTTAATAATGTCTTTGAAGGTTTCTCTGAGCACAGCAAAACAAGGTTGACATTTCTATCTCCTCGGAGAAGTAATCCTTTTGCCAGTACTCCCACTCGCAAAACTCCTTTTAAAGCTCTGCAGTAAAATCAAATTATATTATGACATTTCTCAACCAGAACCATGGTAGTCTTTGAACAACATAGTAAATTAAATAACTTTTGATACTATTCAATTTTCCATCAACTGCAGTATAAACACATTCAATATGTGTAGAAGTACCTTTCATTTACTTAAGAAATATAGATAAATAAATGAAGAGTTATCATAGGGAGAACTGAAAAACAAAGAACATTAACACTTCTGTGTCACATTTTACAAATTAGAGTAAGAGTCACTTCTAATACCATACAAAAATATTTCCAAATAAAGGGAACATGAAAAGTTAATGTAAAACTTGAAAGAAGTTGCAAAAGCTTGAGTTTATTCAGGCTTTATGGTCAATGCATTAAGGAAAGAAGTGGATAAAACAAAGGCTGAATATAAGACAAAAACAATAAGTAAATAAAAACTAACAGCAGATGAATGCAACTAGAAAACTACAAAGGCAGCTTTGAAAAAACCCTCAAAATAGTTTTATATGTATTTAAACAAAATGTGTGAATTTAGAAGGCTGGAGATTGTATGGAATTGTGTATCTCTCATTTTGGCGAAAAAGAGGTGAATACACTAGGTATCTAATGTAACAGTAAGCATGTAGATGCACACCAGAGTTTTCAGTCTCCAACTTTTCATTCAAGTGTAAGTCCATGTAAGGAAAAGCAAAACTATACAAAATAGATAACTCTGAAGACACACCTGTCTTTACCTCCCTCTTTCTTATCATCTCCTTCTTTGTTCTTGCTCTTCTCATGTTCAGACAAGCTGTCTGAAACAAGTTTTAAAGCACGTTCAGTGATAGAAACAATTTTCTGAACTGCCTGTAATTCCTCTTCAGTTGGGTAAATGGTTGCATGTTTTGTCATTACATAACGGTCATCAGATGAGTCAGGACGTCGTAAAGGCTATAGAAAAAAAAAAAAAAAGTTACTTCATTTAAAAAAATGTTTCCTGGGCAAAAGTAAATTATTATTTTAAAAATACACATTTTCATCATATCTTCTCAATAACAAGGTTGATTATGCAAAAATGTCCATTTAAAACTATCTTTTCCTTTTTTCCACTTCAGTAAAAACAAAAATGCAAACTATGGAAAGTTATACTACCTAGAATATGTAAGTTTATACACACACATTGCCTCAAAACAAATAAAATTATAATACACGACATTTCAAGTTATAATACTTTTTTACTCAACTTTAAAAACCAGTGATTCAGAATTTTTTTGCTTTTAATAAAATGTTTTACTGCTGCTTATTCTGCATAAAGACAAATAAAAAAGGTTAAAAAGGAGGAATTGGTTGTTTTCTTCTAAGTGCTCTCCAGAAAACAAAACAAGCAAAAAGACACTCTTGTTTTCTGTAGTCTGAACTTCTAGGAAATGTTCCTCACCCCACAGAGGTCTCTTCTTTCATCCAGACTCCACACATTCTGAGATGCAGGTCCTTCCTCTAGTTTTCCTAATGCACCAACTAGTTATGTACTACCCCTGATCCTGGACTCAATTCAGAAGTAGAAGTAGGTTTTAGATAGTCAGGATTGAAGGAAAAAATATTCTAAACCACCGGTAATGGCAAGATAATCAGTTCCTGCTGATCTCATCTAAACAACAAAGGCAAGACAATCTCTGATTGAAGAAGCTCTACTCCCAGTTAGCTTATGCTGAAAGAAACGATTCATGGAAATTCTATGAAGTCCTTATACATAAAGACAGGTGCTAAGAACCAGTAATAAAGGGGAGGATTGGAAATAAGATGAATATACATTGAGATTACAAGATTAGTAAGCCTAAGAACTGGCTCCCCAGAACTGTGATCCTCTAATGCCAAGCTTCTATGTGTTCCCCCCACATATTATAAAAGAAGTGGACACTCACTGCGGGCCCCTGTGGCTGAGGAGGCATGCCTGGTCGGACTCCGAGAAGGCCCAGCGGACCTGGGGGACCATGAGGGTAGCCACCATCAGGCATTCGGCGGCGATCATCCCAGTGGTGCTGTTCTTCCTCCATTCTTCTCCAGTACATGTCCTCTTCATAACGTCTGAAACACAGAGAATGGCGTCACAAGCCTATAAGAAAATTACAGCCCCCGAACTTACAGTGAGGACATAAAAGCTACTACAAACTCCCAATCAGCCCGGCTAACACCTTTCTTTTCTCCTCTCATTTCCTTTGTATGCTTTCATTTAAGCAACAGAAGTGAAGACAAATAAAAAGAAAAAGTGAGAATACAAAGAGAAACACAAAACAAAATTTCAGTATAAGGTCAAAGTTGAAAGAACAAGCATCAGGACTCTCAGTTCCTTCCAACCTCTCCCTCTTCTCTTTAAGGGAAAATTTGTTAACTAAATATCTGCCTAAAGGATCCAGACCAATAATGTGTGTGCATGAAAGATCCAAAGCAAACATTTAGGAATTTCTTCATGTACCCAAAAAAATGTGCTCTCTCCTGATTATTTGGTTTTTCTATTTAGAGAGAAACTCTTAAGACTACCTTTAATTTTTCCCTCTAGATTACAGTAGAAACAAAGACATTTCTCTACTATGGTCTATAAGTGTTAGTTCAGACTTAAAAATACCATGCAAATAAAACACCCATGGGCTGAACTTGGACCGTGGACAGCTAATAGTCTCTGCTTTAATGGCCAACACTTCCTAACTTCTTTCTATCTTCATTTTCAGCTTCATACTAGGAAATCAATAACTCCCAAGAAAAATCAAATTTTTTTTTAACAATAAGCTTTTACTACATAAAATTTTTAAAATACAAAACATAAAAAGTATGCTCCTCAAGTAGCACTGTAGAAACTACCAATTCTGTCAGCTGAGAACACAGTGCTTTGTAGGTCATCCAACTTAGAAACACAGGTTCAATGTTATTTAGGCTTTGAGAGGGGAAAAAAACAGTTTGAAGACTCTCAATGCCAAATAGTTTTATTACTAGCAACTAATCTGTTTTGAACAGTTATTACAAAAGATGTTAAATAAGGGCAGGGAACTTTATCCATTGTTTACCAATTCATATTCAATGCCAATTGAGTATGAATTGGTAAATTCATACTCAAACTTCAGGCACATAGTAGGTGTTTAAATAAATATATATCAGTGAAGAGAAAATAACTAAATACAGGAATAACCAATTTATTATTATCCATGATTCTCTCTCATCATTGATGTTTCTATCTCCCCCTCTACCTTCCTCTCTGAATTCAATAAAAATACATTTTAAAAGATTGATATATAAATGAAAAAAGAGGGTTATAAAATATGCACATTATACTTTTATTCATATTTTTTGAAATTACATTCTAAAACTAGCCCACAAATACTCATGGCAGCAGTATTCATGAAGTACAAAAGTGGAAACACAAATGTCCATCAATTGATGAACAAAATGCCATACAACCATAAAAAGGAATGAAGTACTGACATACTCAATAAGATGCATGAATCTTGAAAACATCAATGGTAATTGAAAGTAGCTAGACAAAAAAAAATATCAATGTACGATCCCATTTATATGAAATCTCCAGAACAGGCAAATCTCCCATGACAGACAGAAGTGTGCAAATGGTTACCTACGGGTAAAAGGAGGGTTTGGGGGGAAATAGGCAGTGGTTGCGAATGGGTTCGTGATTTTTTTTGGGAGGTGATGACAATGTTCTAAAGTTGATTGTGGTGATGACTGCATAACTGTAAATATATGTGAACAGTACCATTTAAAGATATGACACTTAAACCAATAAAAATGAAGATCTCTCTGGATGATATGTTTCTCATTCTCCTTCCCTGTAGCCCCTAAACTTTCTAGAATAAGCTTTCTTCTTAAAAAACACACTGAGTTGTATTAAAAAAAATTGCCGCATCCCTATGACCCAGAACTGATCCCCTTTCCTCGCTGAGCGATGAGCGTGTGCTGCCTGCACTGCAGCTTGTAATGTGACGTCTCAGGAAGCACAGGCCCTGCTGGCTTGGTACTCTGTGGCCTGGAAGAGTGTGGGCTCCTCTTCATCACCCCAGGAGGGGGGAAAGATACCATATTTAAAATCCCAGTACTGCTATGATTACTTTAAAATTACTAGCCACCAACACTAAAGAACAGATTAGGGGAAAACGGAATTTCTGTTTTTGGCAGTAATTCTACACTTCTTGATTTTTAAAATGATTTGTAAATTGAAGCTTCTTATTAACTTGACAAGTCGCATCAGATGAAGAAATGAGAGAAGCTGTCATCAGATGGTAAATGTTAGGGAATCTAGGTGGTTTTGGAGAACTTCATTTGATGTTTCATTACAGCTAGCTGATGTCATTGACGGTGAAATTACGAAGGTTTAACTAGCTGTGTGCCAGGAATTACTTTTACTTGATGAATGCAGCCTCTCCTTAAATCCATTACTTTTAATAGTTAAGCGCCCACACTGTTTTGTCAGTATAGTTGGACAGAAAATATAGTGTCAGTCACTGGAGGCCAACTGGGCGCTTAAAGAGGTGAAGACAGTGAGTATTTGCATTCGAAGCCACAAAGATCTTTCGGTACAAGAGATCTTTGGACCAACTAGCTAAGAAAGAGGACTAGTTATAGTGAAATTAAAACGATTTGCTAGCCTTAGTTTGCTTTTATTTCCTTTAAGACTATCAGCAGAAGTGCGAGGTTACCTCCCGCAATTACTTCATCATTTAGATCGGTATCGCTACCTGACACCAGGGAATGCTGACAAATCTTGTATTAAACAGATGCCAACAAGAAACTCCACTTCTTGTAAGCTATTTGGGAAGGAGCGCCTTATATGCAAACCCTGGAATAACTTCTTGCTTCTCAGACATGTTAAGCAGCACTTAGGATTCCTTATTTGTGAGAACCACCCTTCAATAAAACGAAGGGGGTGCGGTGCGGTGGGAGCCCAGACCACTTGGTTAAACATGTTTTTGACAAGTTGGAAAAGATGAAATTAATTCTTATAAAACCATTAAGCATGGCCGAAGTATGAGGTATATGATCTGTATAGGATGTTCCCTCAAAATTATTTAGTACTAATGCTTTAAACTCCAAAGTAAATAAACATTCATTTAAAATGGAGTTCACTGGACCAATTTCCCCTTTAATATTAGATAGGAATATTCTTTATCAGAGATTTAGGACACAAGTTTTGTGAACTGATAAAATAAACCCCACAAATATAAATATATAAGAATTTTTATTTGTTGCACATGACTTTTTAGTATAAAATAAATGTTTAAGTTACCTGTGGAAAAGAAACAAACAAACAAAAAAAACACACTAAGATGTCTAGGCTCTACCAAATTTTATATTCAATATTTTTAGCATGTAGCCAAATGTTCTATTTTGCTTGTTTTAAACTGAGGCATTTATTTAAAACATTAAACTATTTCTTCACATATTTAATACATATAAGATACACTTAATCACATATTTCCTAATACCAAAGCCATAGTCAAATATTAGAATAGCCAATAACTTAATTTAATGCATGTCTTTTCTGCCCCTAGGCTCTTCCTGAGAAGTGAAAATTAAAAGTACATGAAATAAATCTGGACCATTTTATGGGAGTCACATACTCAGAAGAGCAATGTTCTTAAGAAGGCTGAGTCACTTATGCTGATAAAAGTGAAAGGAATCACCTCATTTCCATTCTCCAGCGCTCTTCTTCTTCCCGTCTCCGCCAATACTCCTCTTTCTGCATTTGCTTCCTCATTTTCTCTTCTTGAATCTTTCTTGCTCGAATACTGGGCTTTACTTCTACTTGCAAATCTGGATTGACTTTTTTCTGTTAATACAAACAAGACATTTCAAAAATTAGCACCCCCTTCCAACAATCTACACATACAATCCCACATATTCTTCGTCATAGAGATTTTTTAGTTACAAATTTCCTATTATATAAGAGTAAATTCAGCATATAAGTTGAATCAGAGGAAAGATTCAGAATACATTAATAAATATTCATTTCCCCCACCCCCTAAAATTCTTAATTTTTCCAAGTTTAAAATTATATACACTTAGTATGTAAAAAGTGCATGCCTTAGTCCTGACCAATAGAAGAGATCCTTAGGGGATGAATGGATATTTAACTTTTCTTTATTTTTTTATAAATAGGTAATTCTAAATGTCTAAGTGTGGAATTAAGAAGTTTCTTTTCATAAAAAAGTATTGGCCTTTAACAATTTAATTTCACCACCCTCATGTTTAAAAGAGAAAACATGGATCTAATGCATTAGATTAGTCCAGACTAAGTAAAAACTTTACATATAATATTTATATTTAACTTCATGCTTGAAGTGTTTTCAATGAAGAATTCCTTATCTCAAAATTCATTTTAGTGGGAATTCTACCAAGATAGAGTAGGTAAATAGAGACCTGGCACTTCTTTCAAAACACTTCATTATGTGAAAACTTATCTTTATATGATTACATGATCAAGCAATGTTATAATTTAGCTACAGTCACCGAGAATGATGAAATATAGTTATAATCTTCTTTCCTACATATAACAAACTGATCAGAAAAATCAAACATCTGAATCTAAGTGAGACATAATGTGCTAATCTTGGTGTGGGAATTTATGGACTCAGTGAGTTATGTTTAAAATCTTTATTTTACATCTAGAATGTTAAAAAAATAAAAAAAGTTGAAATTTTTACTCACTTTATATTGAAGTCTGTGTCTTCGGCCTTTTAAGTGCATTTCCTTAGCGTTGGGATCATTAAAGCTGCACTCGCATAATTTACAATGGAATCGAATTACTTTTCCCTCATCATTTCGTACCTTGATGTAGGAGGGAAAAAACCCAACATTATAATGGAAATGTTACAGTTGAAGATTTCATTCATATGGCCTCCCAGATTCACTGATAAAAATAATTTTGTGAAAAATTAAGTTTGAAATGAAGGAAAAAAATAGGTAATATCTAAAATTTTTAAAAAGGATGATCTATAAAAACACACTGTTAGAATTTTCTAACTGTAGCGTTAGCATACAAGATGTTAGCATGAATTTGCTTTTGTAATTAACTGTAATTTTAATAACTTTATCTGTATGTAACATTTAAAAACAATTAGATACCTAATGCTCTTAAAAATAGGTACTGAATATCAGGTACTATTATTGGAAATGAAGATAAAGATGATTAAAGATAAAGCTCAAGATTTTATACATGTAACTTTGTGGAAAAATCAAAGCCAATTTTTTCTAACAGCACAACCAGTTAGGAAGGCAAGTAATTAGAATCTTATTAAGTTTATAATGAGCCGAAACCAGTTTGGCTCAATGGATAGAGCGTCGGCTTGGGGACTGAAGGGTCCCGGGTTCGATTCTGGTCAAGGGCATGTACCTTGGTTGCGGGCATATCCCCGGTAGGGGGTGTGCAAGAGGCAGCTAATCGATGACTCTCTCTCATCGATGTTTCTAACTCTCTATCTCTCTCCCTTCCTCTCTGTACAAAATCAATAAAATATTAAAAAAAAAAAAAAAAAAGAAGTTTATAATGAATACTATGTTCAAATTGTTAGGGGAAGCTTTAAAGACTGGCTTTGAACGCATCTATCTGAAGTTTGGAATTGCTTTATTATTATCATTGGAAATTATGGCGTTCTGGAGGCATACATTTTTTTAGATAACCACATCTTACTCTTTTAAAAAAAACTGGATGTGAACTACTGATAAACTGCATAACCCAGTTTTTTTCCATGTAAAAAAAGAACCCAACATAACATGAGAGAAAAAGGATAAAGGAACACATATTTACCAAAAATCTACAATTTGCTAGGCACTTTATTTCATTCTATCTTCACAACTTTGTTGGAGAATAGCCAAATTTTATAGATGTAGACACTGAATTTCAGAGAACTTATATATGTTCTACAATACAGAGTGAAGTCTACTGCTACCTCACTCTATGTTATAGTCTTTCTACTAACCGCAAATATTTATATCATGACTCTCTGATGTTCCCTCACTCCTCTACCTACTGAACTTACTTTTCTAAAAAACAGAAATAATTTTCTAATCAGCTTGGAAAACCAAATAAACAGGATCTTTAAATTAATAACCCTGCCCAGCCAGTGTGGTTCAGTGTAAGATCACTGGATCAATTCCTAGTACAGGCACATGTACAGGTTTTGGGTTCTAATCCCAGGAGGGGATGTACAGAAGGCAGCTGATCAATGATTCTCTCTCATCTTTAATCTTTCTCTCTCTCTCTCTCTCTTCCTCTCTCTGAAATGAATAAAAATATTTAAACAAATAAATAAATAAAATAAGCAACGCTAATTTTACACACGAAACTAAGTGATTGTTAGGGGGAAAAAATTGGCTTTCTTTGTCAAAATTTTGGTGCTCACAATTTTTAAAATTTTATATTCAGGGTAGTTGAAAGATATAAGAATGTCTACCAAATAAATGGAGAGTTACTTTGCTGTTTTAGCAGAGAAAGAGATAACAAAATACTGTAATGTTACTTAGACAAGCTTAAAGGGCATGCTTTTTAAAAACCTTAAAAAGATCCCTTTGACATTCCTTCACAAGTAACTTAAACCTAATTGAATATAATTTAATTTTACATGAAAAACATGCCCACAACACAGCGACAGCCTTGCCCCCTTTATCGAATCCCACAGCAATGGTATTCTGGAACCAATACCTCCTCCACATAATCATGGCCCACTGGCTGCACATCACTCTGCAAAGCAGCCAGAGACGCAGGCGTGACTGGTTCAGACACTGTGTCTGGCTTTACGTCTGGAATCTGTACAGAAGTAACAGGAGTGCCTTTAACACATTCTGTTCCTTTTAAGTCTTCTGTTTTATTTCCTGTTGATTGCAGCTTATTACCACCTAGAAAAGCATAGGAGAATTACAGTAATTTTAACTTTTTTTGTGTGTAAATGTATAAACTGATACAACAAAAACTTCAGACAAAATTATCTTTTCTACCAAAAGTCAAGCCCTGCTTGACACATGATGAGAAATCTGAAGAACCACATAAACCACTGGCTTTTTTACCCTACTGAAACAACACCTGGATTTTCCCCTTCTCCATCCCTACTATGGTTCTCACAACATCAAGTCCCTAAAAGTCAACAGCAAATACCTGAGCAGCCTATTCATGCTGGTATCCCTAGTTCTTTGCCAATGGAACTGGGCACTCCTACATTCTGGTAATATAATAAGAATAAAGCAAGGTAGCTGCTTTTGGGGTGCCAACCATTAAGGGGAAACAACTAACTATACTACAAAGTGATAAGGGCTGTACTAAGTATGAACAGAGTACTGTGGGAATGCAGAGCCGAGAAACCACTACCCTTGAACCTGATCCAGTTAGAGAGGCTTCACCAAGTGTGAGACACTTGAGCTGGGCTTTGAAAGAAGAGGAACGAGTATGAACTGGCCAGGCGGAAAGGAGAGAATAATGTCTAAACAAAAAGAACAGGATGTGCAAAAAAGCACAACATCATCAAGTTAAAAAGACTACAGTAAATTTAGGGAAGCTCCAGTAATTCACTATGAATTACCACCTAGGTAAGATGATGACCGATGAGGCAGGAGTCTGAAGGGGAAGGCCCGGGATGAAATAATTAAGGAACACAGAGGCTTTTTTCCTATACCAAGGGGAGTGACACTGAAAGCTTCTAATCAGGAGTCTAATATAATTTGATATATATGCATCTTCACAAAATGACTTCGAAAAGTTTTGGAGAGACTGGACACAATAAGAGACAAAGCTCTGAGGAGCAGCGTTTTTTTTGAAGGAGAGGGTTTTTTAAATGTTTTCATTGATTTTTAGAGAGAGGAAGGAAGAGAGTGAGAGATAGAAGCATCAATGAGAGAGAATCCTACATCTCCTCCACCCCCACTAGGCATCAAGCCTGCAACTCCGGCAAGTCTCTGGCCGGGGATCAAACCCATGACCTCTTGGTTCCTGAGTCTCGACGCTCAACTGCTGAGCCACACTGGCCAGCTGAGGAGCAGACTTTGAAGGCCTAAAAACAAGGCAGTGACTATGAAGATGAGCTTTCTTAGGGGACAGAAATATTGTAGTGATAGAAACAAAAGAGCTAGGTAAACAATTAGAGGAGGCAATAAAAAGTAAAAAATAAAGTCAGTGAAGTTTTCCAAGTGAAAAGCAGCAATTTTGTGAGATCATTTCATGGCACTCTTGTAATAAGACAATGGGTTAGAATGAGACACTTGTAGGCATCTATAAAGCTGTTCAGATAATGACCAGGGATACCTAAAATATGGCTCTAGGCGCAGATGGAGGTTTTGAGTTTGCCCAAAAGATTCTAAAGTCACTGTGAACACTGGAATGGATGAGACCACTCATGAATACTGGAAACGAAAGAAGATTAAGAATAGAATCAGAATCTTTGGAATACCACCATGCAGTGAGCATGCAGGCAGGAGAACCAATAAAGATCCCTGAGAAAGGGTGGGTAGACAGACAATAACCAGAGAGACAGAGCCATATCTTAAGGTTTACAGTATAGCAGTCAACTAAGTCAAAAGTTAGAGAGGTCTACAGGATGAAACTGAAAACTGGCCACTGATTTGGCAATTAGGTCTTTGGTGATTCTTGAAAGCAGTTTCAGAAATAAGTAGAGTGTAAACACTATAACTGACGGGGGATTGTGTAAGTATAGAAGGAATTAGTTTAGCAACTTGAAAGGATAACTGGATTGGAAAAGACCTTTTTTAAATTTAAGACCATGAAAGATAAAGGTATACCTGCATGGCTGAAAGGAAGAGAGAAGAAACCATTAGAGGACTGACTAAAAATTCAAGAAAAAAATAGAGAGAGGTGATTCAACAAGGTCACATATCTTGTTGAGAAGGGAGGAGGTGGGTAAAGATCATAAGCAGAAGGGTTAGTCAGGATTGGAAGAGAAATGTTACTCTGACGGAGTTGGGGAAAACAGAAAGAATCTTCTGTACTTGCCCACAAAGTTTATTTTGGGTGTAGATGTCTTCTTGGCAGCCATACTTGTAGGCACTGCTGACACTTTAGTGTTGGATGTGCTGTTAAGAGACGCGTTTCCTGTAGCTGTAAGACCTTTCACTGAAGAAGTTGCAATTGATGAAGTATTCACAGTACAATTGCTTGCTGCAATGCTTGAAGGAGAGGCAGTCGGTTTTGTAACGGACACAGCTGTTGAAGCAGTAGCTTGGCTAACAACGTTTGGTTCTGTTGAAGGAATGGGTTTACCAAGTTTTGTGTGTAATTTAACCACCTATAAAAAAATAAATAAAAGCACATTTATTTGTTGGAAACTCAGAATATAGATTTTCAAGTTCGTCCAAAAGACATTATAAAATTAAAATACAAATGATATTTTCTGCTATATATTTTCATACACAAATTCATTATTTTCCAAAAACCTCTATGAAGCAGATAAGGAAATATATTCCACCTATTATCAGTAAGAAAACTAAGGCAGAGAGAGATGAAATGACTTGGCCACATGCATACCAACCTAGACTTAAGCATGACAAAAGGAGGGAAATAAACATACTATTTTCCAACTGATAAAATAAATTATCTAATCCAATTTAAAGAAAGGTCTCTAGCCTTCTTTTATATATATTTATATTAGCACATAAACCAGGCTTATCATACGAAGCTTTGAAGCCACTTTTGCTGTACACCGCTCCCCGCAACTCCCTACTGGAAAGGTAAGACAGTGACAGAGTGAGGCAGGAGGCGGTGTGGGAAGAACACCTACTTTCTGGTGCTTAGCACCGCGAATGTGGGCAGCATAGGCATCTGCTCCCGTGCAGGACACGTCGCAGAGCTCGCAGCGCAGCTGGTTCTGAGTCCCACGAGCAGAGCTGCTGCTGCTGCTGGTACTTTGTGAGGCTTTCAATGCAGCTTCTTTTTTTTTATGTTTCTGTCCTTCTAAATGTTCCTTGTAAGTCTGTTTCAAACAAAAAGGACACATTTTGTTTTATTAATTTTCTAAATACAAAGTCATTTAAATTATTAAATTCTCAAATCTCTAATCTTATGTAAAAAATGAGCACCAAACAATTTTATTTTATTTTATTTAAATATATTTTATTGATTTTGTACAGAGAGGAAGGGAGAGAGATAAGAGAGTTAGAAACATCGATGAGAGAGAGTCATCGATGAGCTGCCTCTTGCACACCCCCTACTGGGGATGTGCCCGCAACCAAGGTACATGCCCTGGACCGGAATCGAACCCGGGACCTTTCAGTCTCCCAGCCGACGCTCTATCCATTGAGCCAAACCGGTTTGGCGCACCAAACAATTCTAAAAGCAATCTGAGAAAAGCATGTGGATACATCTGTGGTTCTCTGTACCTTGTTCATCAAGAATTTATTTATCTAACACTGTGATTCACAAGGACTTTCCCACAGAGCCATAATACCAATAGAAGTCACTGCTTTAAGTTTCAGGAATTTGTATCTTGCTCTGGCTAGGTAGCTCAGTTGGCTGGAGTATGGTTTCCAGGCACCAAGGTTTCGGGTTGGATCCCAGTCAGAGCGCATGCAGGAATCAGCCAGTTAGTGCATGGATGGGTGAGACAACAAATCCATCTCTCTCTCAAAAATCAATCAATAAATAAAAAGTTAAAGAACTAACGAAAACAGAATGTGTCTTTTATTGATTATGTATAATGTTGAATAAAGAATACTAGACAGTGATCATTACAGTGAAATTATACATTAAAAACTGCCTTGAACGCTGACAATTAAGAAGGCAGATTTATTAAAATAAGAGGAAGTAAATATGGATTGCTAGTTAGTTTATTCTTGAGTGGGGCTAAATCGTTACTCTTCCATATTTTGTTTTTTAGAATTGTTTTTAAGAGAAACATAATTACCATAAAATTATATATTTATCATAGAATTTCCAAGCTAGGTAAAATTTTAGATATTACCCAAAATAATGACTTTCTAATTTTCAAACAAGAGAATCCTTCCTATAAATAATAACATGCACAAGTAAGGAAAATTGCTGTTTTTGAAAAGAGAGACCTAAGACCTAGCTATTTGATTCTTCTCTGTCTGTGGCAACCTGAGGGTTCTGTGAAGTAAAGCCTCAATTATTTAAAACAAGTTCCTATTATAGAAGTAGAGACACGAAAGCCCAAAGAAGGGCTCTGACTTGCCCAAGGCCACAGTAAGTGACAGAGCCAGGACTGAAACCATGGACCAACTTCATCCTGAACCAACTACTCTCCCTCCTTATTTTCACGCCTGTACTCTCATAATGTCAACACTTTTCTCTAAGACTCATTTCATTAACCCGTAAGGCACTGCATCTGACTTGCAGAAGTATCCTTCGCCTGTTCTTGGGTAACCATTCCGATACTCCAAATCAATGGTCAGCCATATGTATACTCATTCTAAATAAGCTGTTAACCAACTACCCTAGAGTCATATTCTATCCTTTCATATGGGTGCCACAGATTCAGTAAATCTCTTAAGTTTATATTTGTCACTCATAGTATCATCCTCTCTAAAAAGCCATCACAGAGTGGATACACTCCTCAAATACTAAACCAACATCTTGCTCCCTTTAATCGTGGTCACTGAAATATTCTTCACCTACACCCTCTTCTCCAACCATGCAATCACAATGAAGCCATTTCCTATCACACTCAAAATAGGGAGAGAAAAAAAGGTTTTATGGAACTAGCCACATATTTAAAAATTCCCTTATTTGATATAATTCAGGGAAAGCTGGTAACTTAAAAAATAATGTATACAGATGGGGCAGAGGTGAGAGACAGAAGAAATAATTAGAGTCAAAATCTGGTCTCAATCAAATAATATACCTATTACCAGCCAAACGACTTACTATCAAATTTTTATAAAAAAACTAGATGCTCTGCCCTATCTAGTTTGGCTCATTGGATAGAGTGTCGGCCTTCGGACTTAAGGGTCCTGAATTTAATTCCAGTCAAGAACACGTGCCTGGGTTGTGCGTTCAATTCCCAGTGGAAGGTGTGCAGGAGGCAGATGATCAATGATGGTCTCTCATTATCGATGTTTCTCTCTCTCTCTCCCTTCCTCTCTAAAATCAATAAAAATATATTAAAAAACAAACAACTAGACACTCTTGCCCTAGCTGGTTTGGCTCAGTGGATAGAGCACTGAAGGGTCCCAGATTTGATTCCATTCAAGGGCACATGCCCAGGTTATGGGCTCGATCCCCAGTGCGGGGAAGAGAGGGAAGGGGGGCGGGGAAGAGGGAGGGTGCAGGAGACAGCCAGTCAATGATTCTCTCTCATCATTGATGTTTCTCTCTCTCCCTCTCCCTCTCCTTCTCTCTTCCCTCTCTGAAACACACACACACAGAGAAAAATCTAGATACTCTTAAGGAAAGTATTAACAAAGAAAACTGGGAAGGGAGTTGTGCTAATCAGACTCATGCCTCAATCATGTATTTTAAGGTGCAGCAACCGGGAAAAAAAGAGGGGGGGATGAAGGTTCTGGATGCTACATTAGTCGGTGTTTTTTAAAATTCCACCTCCTTACACCTTTCTGTTTCCTGAGTGCCTATTTCCTCATGGAGGAGACTATACAGAAATAAGTAATACTTTATAAAGCATAGATAAAAGTCAGTCTTATTAGAAACATCCTGAGAATTGTAGATTATTAATATAATTTATTTTTTTAATTCCAGAAAGACAATTTTTCCTGCTAGTTATAGGCTCCAAAAACTAATACAGTTGACAAAATTCTTTTATCTTTAATAAGTGTGTAAACAATTATCTTTATGATCATCCCTTTTCAGCTGTAAAATTCTATATATAAACTCAAATAAAGACCTTGAAGAAGAGATAGGAAAGTCAAGAATTTTGTATAAAGGCTTTTAAAAGCAAGTAATAAATGCTAAAAAAGAAATAAAAATTCAATCTTTCCCCAAAAAAACAATTAAATCAAATATAAAACTTTTAAGCTAAATTAAAGGTTTAGAGAGCAAAGTATTCTTCTTGGGGGGCGGGGGGGCTTAATTTGCCTGTTTTTCATTTACATTCATAATCATTTTTTCAGATTTTTAAAAAAATTATCTTTATTGTGGAAAGTATTTCATATCTTATGTTTTCCCTCATTAACTTCCTCCACCTGGCATCCACCCGTTCTATGGTTTTTTCTTAATAGAATTCTTCTGTCTTAATACAAATACCTTTTAAAAATGGCCATTTAATGAACTATGTATGTACTAGCTAAACTCTAAAGAGAAGAAAATGGAAACCTTCTTTGTAAATATAAGAGTTGCATTATCAATCATATTTAACTGTTAAAAAATAACGGCGGAAGCCTTGTGGTAAAACATACACAGTAAGTCAGTACCTGTGGGCCAGCACAGCTGATCTTGCAGACATCGCAATAGTGAATCTGGGGCGGTTTGGGAGGCTGTTTTGGTTTCAGCTGCTTGTTTTGGAATGGTGCTTTTTTAGGGAAGGTGGTCCCTGTCCAGGCAGCTGTGGCAGCCGCAGCCGCAGCCGCAGCCGCTGCCTGCTTCTGTTGCTGCTGCTGCTGTTGGTAGTAGGAGGACGCAGCTGAATACACTGCTGCTTCATAACCTGAATAAGACGTACCTTACAAACAAATAAAACAAAGGTTTCGTTACATAATTATATAAGGCCAAGCTAAATGTTACGAATTTAAATTCCATAAATTCTGTTCATAAAGGTAGGTTTACTCATGCATATTTACAAATAATGTATCTTTCTTGAAAAACAAACCTAGAAAGCATTTATCCTTCTTTTATATATAAGTCAATCAACAAGTATTTGCTCAGCACCTACCAGGTATTATGGAGTATAAAGAATGTGTAAGGTTAAGATTTGGTCTTTGTCTTAAAGAAGCTTACAATTCCGGTGGAGGAATGTGACAGAATATTTGGTTACTTATGTGGCTATAGAACTATTTCACTGAGAGGGAAAGGCAGATGAAAGGGGAAAAGTTATCTTTACAAAGGAGAGATTTGGCAGTCACTTTAACCAGCGATTTATTTATACTTGGTATCATCAATAAAGCATAAATGGACGTTATTTACTATGTGCTCCTAATATGATGAAATGGGAAGTTTGTTTAGTTTTATTGGCTAAAAAGCTGCCAGAATCTAAGCATAAAGAAACCAGATAAATCTAGAGTCTACAACTGGCCTAACTCTCTAGGACAGTGGTCCCAACCTTTGGGACCTCACAGGCCACCAGTGGTCAGCGGACCATGGGTCAGTGACCGCTTCTCCAAAGGTTTCCTTAAACCAGGGGTCCCCAACCTCTCAGACTTCACGGACCGCGGTTGGCAATTGCTCCTTAAAGAAATGTCAAGGTCATGAGAGAGAAGATAAAAATAGATTATTCTACATTAAAACAAAACACCCTCAAACTAACAACACATGACAACCAATGCAATGCATGCCCCTTGACTGGATCCTAAATTTAAAACAAAGCACAAGCACACGGAAAGCCCAGCTATAGGAGACATTTGTGAAAAACTGGAGAAATTCATTAGAACAATCCATGTTCAGATCCTTTCTCTGACATGTGCAATGTGGCTATTTAAAAGAAAGCCCTTTTTCTTAGAAAATACATGCTGAAAAATTCTGGGCAAAGCACCGTGTGTCATCTTCCATCTGCAACTTTTATATATTTCTGAACCATTTGAAAATATGTTTTGTAGAGGAGAGATAAAGTAAATGTGTCAAAATATTAATAAATCAGGGAAGCAGAAACCAGTTCGGCTCAGCGGATAGAGCATCGGCCTGCGGACTGAAAGGTGCCGGGTTTGATTCCGGTCAAGGGCATGTACCTTGGTTGCAGGCACATCCCCAGTAGGGGGTGTGCAGGAGGCAGTTGATCGATGATTTTCTATCATCAATGTTTCTAACTCTATCCCTCTCTCTTCCTCTCTGTAAAAAAATCAATAAAATAAATAAATAAATAAATCCGTGAATCTAGATAAATGATATACGAACATCTGAATTATTTTTTCAACTCTTCTGCAGAAACTTTTCTAAAATAAAGCTAGTGAATAACATTAACCAAAGGAATGATAGATGTATCTTCGTATTTAGTGACATGAAAAGACATTCACAATAAGAAAGTAGTGTACACAATAGTATGTATAAGACAAATTCTTTTTTATAAAGAAACCCTGAGGTTTAGATATGTATATTCCCATGGAAGAAAAGTATATGCAGTAAAATGTTAATGACAACGTCTAGGAGTAGGCGTCTAGGGATTTAATTTTTTCTCCTTTTTTATCTATAGTTTCTAGTTTTAAAATAATGATGTATTATTAATATAATATAAAAAGGATACTATCATACTCTGTATTCTGAAACAAATGTGAACATTTAAAAACAACTATCCACTCATACTTCATTGAAACAACTGCAGTACAGTTATAACTGGTTAATCAGATAAAGAGAGGCAGGAAAGCTGTATCTGGGAAATCTTAAAGGACAGATTTAGGAGTAATAACATCTCCTCACTCCAATTCACTTCCACATGACTGTCATATTAACTTAAAATCTGCTCCCATTGCTCCCTTTCTACCCGCACAACAAAGCAGGTTTGGCTCCATGGTATAGTGTTGGCATATGCACCAAAGGATCATGGCTTCAATTTCGGACAAGGGCAAGTACCCCGGCTGCAGGTTTGTTCCTGGGCCCTGGTGAAGAGAGGCCTATGCAGGAGGTAACCAATCGATTTGTTAATGTATTTTTCTCTCTCCACCGCCCCCTCTCTAAAAAGCAACGGAAACAATATCTGCGGGTGAGGATTAACAACAACAAAAAGATACTACAGCAGAGCCTACAGGCCTTTTCACACTGACATTTCCAGCCTTTTCTGGTATTATCCACATACCCTGTATTCCAGGCACAATGAACTCTCATTCTGCAATACTTGTGCCTGCCTAATTCACCACCGTATCTCTACCAACACAGCAATTGGCATAGAGTAAGAGACCAAAAAAAAAATCTCTTAAGAAATTAAATAGTTAATTAAATAGCTAGGATTCTAACACAAAGTATCAAGAGGTAAGAACTGAAATTACCAATGTCACTTAAATCCTCCACAGAACAAAAAAGGGTATTAAGGAATAAATAAAATGCAGAACAATAAACCATATGGTAGTACAAGAAGGTTAAGTGTCTACAAAAAAATAATGTGTGATTTAATTATGAAATACTGAGGTTATCTCGGCCAGAAATTAGCAAGAGCTTTGGACATAGTAAGGCTTTAGTGATTATAGTTCTCCAAGAAAAATATATGATTTAAAGAAAATGAAACTCTTCTGTCCTTCTAAGATGTGTTCTATAACCATTATCTTATGAATGTTTATAAATGCTAACCAGTATTGCCAAGATTATTTATTCCTGATAATAAATATGAAAATAAATTTGAGGGCTGAACTAAAGAAGGTAACTAGTCAGCAATATTCCTTTAACTTTTCAAACTCATTTGGGAAAGTCAGAAAGAGAATAGAATAAGACTAGTAGAATACTGCTATTTTTTTCTAATTGCAAAGCTAGGCCCAGGACTCATGACTAGCTTTCCAATGTCCAAAGAGAATTAATGTTCTGCTAACATCTTCTGGGTTAAAAAACAACAAACAACAACAAACCGACAAGCAAACCATACAACAGAGAAAGTCTTTCTAGTTTCTTTTGTACTGAGACACTCTGTCAGCTTACCAGAATAAGTAACTGCCGTGGTACTGTAAGTAGCACTCTGGGTGTAGGATGGCACCACGGTAGCTGCAGCGGCTACTGGCTGCACGGTGGAAGATACAGGATAAATGGAGAACGTGGTGGTGGCTGGACTCGGTGTCGCTGGTTTTATGGCTGTCACTTGTCGAGTTTGCTGGGCTTGTGTATACTGAGTTGCACCTTGGCTATAACCTGCTTTGGGGGCTAAATGGAAAAAGAGATATCAGAAAATTAGAAGGTAAAACACTTACAATACTCACCTACTGTGGTGGTCTGGAGCCAAACCTACAATATCTCCAAGTATGCCTGTAGTCACCAAACCAACATCTTGGAAAACTAGAAAAAGTAGGTTAAATGTTAACTGTGAATTAGATGCCAGTAATTTCTTCTTGGCAAAAGGAGTGAAATTCTTATACCAACTGAAGAAAATATAACATCTATATAAATTACTATCCCATCCCAGATGTTTTCCATATATTTCCAAAATAATAGTTTGTAAAAATTTACAACTAACTGAAATAGCAGTACTACTTAAAACAGGCATTAATAAATAAAGTTCTTAAAAACGTGTGTGTGTGTGTGTGTGTGTGTGTGTGTGTGTGTGTGTGTGTGTATTTTGGCTAGCCTACTTGAAAGTTATGCTTAATACTGGGAACAGAAGAGAGAGGACCTCAAAGCACGTATTTCAATTCACAGTAAAAATTGCAATGTTTAATTATATGGAACTTGTTTATATAGCAGCCATCACATTCTACTGACATATCCACAATTACAACTCACAAGGTGCTGACCATTCTTCCAATGCAATATCTTTGAGGGCAGCTATCCTTTTTTTTTTTTTTCTTTTTTCCTTAATATATTTTTATTGATTTCAGAGGGGAAGGGAGGAGAGAGAGAGAGAGAGAGAAAGAAACATCACTGATGAGTGAGTATCATTGATTGGCTGCCTCTTGCATGCCTCACACTGGGGACCCAGCCCGCAACCTAGGCATGAGCCCTTCACTAGAAGGAACTGAATCTGGGACCCTTCAGTCCGCAGACTGATGCTCTTTCCACTGGGCCAAACTGCTAGGGCAAGGGCAGCTATTCTTAAATGGCTACCATTAGTGTCTTTGCTAAACCTTCTGCTGTCTTTGACCATATTCAAAACAAATCTTATGAGCTTTAGTATCAATCAATAATTTAATAATTAATCATGAATGATAACCAAAGCAAAAAATGTCATTTCTAAGAAAGGACAAAATACCAATGAGGCAAACTCATTTTATGCTCGATTACCTAAAGGTAGCTTAAATAAATAGCACCTAAGAGCATAAAACTTCTTTTTTGGGAAAGGAAGGGGGAAAGAGAGAGAGAGAAAGCGCGCACATCGATTGGCTGCTTAACGCATGCACCCCGACTAGAGATGGGACCTGCAACCTGGGCATATGCCCTGACCAGGAATCAAATCCACCATCTTTGGTGTCGGAACGACGATCCAACAAATTGAGCCATACCATCTAGGGCAAGCGTTTAGAAAACTGAAGCTGTGTAGTTAATGTCAGAACTTACACTAAATCAAGGACTTTCGACTCTCAGATAGTAACTTAATACTTTTAAGCACAATCTAATTTTGGTAATTAGCTAAGAATTTCACAAAAGACTGCAAACCAGAGATGAGACTATAAGAAAATTCAGGGCTATTTTAATTCAAAATCTTTTAAAGCACTTTTAAAAACACATAATATCTCAGAATTAGAAGTGCCCAGCACTCATGTACACATAAGAGAAAGTACAGTTTAAGCCAATCCTACTCTTTCCTAACAAGGCTCTACCCACACGCTCATGCTCCTTCAAAAATAACGAAAGTAAAGGAGCTGCCTACGTTCCAAAGCGCAGAGAGCTTTGTTTTAAAAGCTGTTAGATCTCGCCCTGACCAGGTGGCTCAGTTGGTTGGAGCGACAGGATCGATCCCTGATCCGGCACATGCGGGAAGCAGCTAACCAATGTTTTTCTCTCTAAAAAAAAATCAATAAAAAAATCCATCTTTTAAAAATCCATCTTTTAAAGACTCCTAGTATACAGGGTTCTTTGCAAAGGAAATACCGCCTGCATTTGAGCCCTCTGATATCTGTGGCTGATTACAGAACCAACTGCCATTACAGATCAGGGAAAGAAGACTAAGATATGGGCCACAGAGTCTCTGCTGGTTACAAAGGCAGTCAGCAGCATGTGCTGGCATTTCTGGCAAAGATAAGAAGGTGGCCAAGAGCTACCACCACAGCTCCTTTTGTAAAGCTTACTCCAGCAGGCAGTGACCTGCAAGCTGAAGACCAGAAATGAACATTTCCAGGAGAGAAGGGCATGATTCTGAATTGCTTGCACGGCCTTCTCTTTGGGACTCAAAGGCAATCAGGCAGAGGAAGAGAAGGACATGGCTAGAACCTGTTAGACTGGCATATAACACAATGAGTTTAGATGGACTCCAAAGCAAACCTTCATTAAGAAGACTCTAAGTAATATATTTCAGTGGTTTAGAATGAAACCGGGAAGGGCAGTAAAACCCACCTGTCTGGTAGTAGGTTTCAGCAACAGAAGGCTGAGGCTGGGCAGCAGCGGCTACAGCAGCAGCAGTTGCTGTTGGCTGTTGGTAGTACTGCTTACTGTCGTAAGCTACAGCAGGAGCGGTGGATCTTACATATGAGTATGAGTCCTAAGGAAAAAGGAGAAAAGAAAACCTTGCTATGAGGAAGAGGCAGTAAATGCTCCTCATCTTTATTATATGAAAGTATAATAAAGAAAATTAAAAAACTAAACATATACTTAAACTAGACATGAGTCAAATTCAATCACAAAGGGGATACATTTTGACTTCATTAAATAAGGTCAAAACCATTTCAAGCATCATGTTTAACTTTTAAAACCAGAAAAATGAGCAATGCTTATTTTTTTTAAATTAATTTTATTAAAAAACTCATGGCAGTTCTTCCTTTAAATGGATCCCATAGTAAAGAATGCCTGTATGAACTAAATTTTGCATTGGCTCCAACTTTTTCAATCTTCTTTATTTACTACTAACATTAACATAGTAATGAATAGGAGCTTCCAGCTGGAGGAGAGTGGAATGGAGGTGCCAGGGAGAAGACACATCGACACTAATAAAAGAGAGACATGCTAGTTGACCATACCTTAGAATGCCCACCAGCCAATCAGGAGTATGCAAATTAACCCAACAAAGATGGCGGGTTAATTTGCATACATAGCCTCCCCCCCCCCCCGCCTGGAACCATGTGTGTTCCACACTACCCAGCCACTCGGGGCCTATGGGCAGCACGGGAAGGCGGACAGGCAGCTCCGGCCAGAGGAAAGACAGTGCTGGCAGCCAGGGGAAGGAAGGCCCATTCTTGCACGAATCTTTGTGCATCGGGCCTCTAGTTCCATATAATAAAAGGGTAATATGCAAATTGACCCTAATAGCAGAACGAGCAGAACAATCAGAACAACCGCTGGACCAGTTACTATGAGGCGCACTGACCAGCTCTTAGTTCCTTTCCCCAGCCAGCAGGCACCGATCATCTGATGGTGAACAGGGCAGCGGGGGGCGGAACTGGCTGCAGGCAGCTGGGGAAGATGGCCCTAATCACAGGCCAGGCCTCAGGACCAGACTGCACACGAATTTCATGTACTGGGCCTCTAATACATGAAGATCAAGGTGAACTAGGTGAATTTCTGTGCTGCATAAAGCGAAGGGTGAAAAGGCATACAGATAGAAAGGCTGAAGAAGTAGGCAGGGTGCAAAAAAAAAATGGGCTTCAAACACCCTATTTAAAAAATGGAATTTATTATATTCTGTCTCTAGACATAATGAAGACTATTGCAAAAGTCAAAAAGAATTCCATGTTAATAACGTGCCATATATTATAGCAAATACTAATACTAGTATATCCGAAGCTGGCTGCTGGCTACATTGTGGAAAAGAATAAATATAATACAATTTATTAATACTGTTAATTCATGTGTCAATTTCTTAATTCAAATTCCTATAGTTAAAAATGTAGCCGAAACTGGTTTGGCTCAGTGAATAGAGAGCCGGCCTGCGGACTGAAAGGTCCCAGGTTTGATTCCAATCAAAGGCATGTACCTTGGTTGCAGGCACATCCCCAGTGGGGGGTATGCAAGAGGCAGCTGATTGATAATTCTCTCTCATTGATGTTTCTAACTCTCTAACCCTCTTTCTTTCTCTCTGTAAAAAATCAATAAAATTTAAAAATTTTTTTAAAAATATAGAAAAACCAGGCCAAGACCAGAAGGATCAAAGTTTAAAAAACAGATCCTAAAAGAAAACTAACCAAAAAATGGGTGAATTTGCACAGCAAAGGAAACCATCCACAAAATAAAAAGACAACCCACTAATGGGAGAACACATTCGCGATGATACGTAGCGTGGGCTCGTAGTTCTCAAAATAGGAGGCACAGCTGTGTTCCAAGTGGACAAATAATGCCACATACAAACAAGGGGCCTTTTCCCTATTACCTTAATTTTTCTTAAAAACCTGGAGTAAAATTAAAATATTTAGTCAATGTTAATTTTTCAAAATTAAAGCAAGTAGTTATAGTGGAATAGACTGGGGGAGATTATTAATATAAAATGCACAGCCCAGCTAGTATGGCTCAACGGATAAGCGTCGATGTATGAACCAGGAGGCCATGGTTCAATTACTGGTCAGGGCACATGCCCAGGCTGTACGCTTGATCCCCAGTAGAAGGCATGTAGGAGGCAAAATCAATGATTCTCTCTCTTCATTGATGTTTCTTTCCCCCCCCCCCCGCCTCTTTGAAATCAATAAAAATATATTAGAAAAAACTTACAGCAAGGAAAAGTAATGATTGAACTATGCCCCTAAATACCTACAAATACTTTTCTACCATTACAGTACATTTTGAGAGATCCAAGTTTGCGAAGCACTGGCTTGGACAGGATACCACACTTGAGGACACTGAAGCCCGTATGTTAAGGCTGCTGGAACTAATAGCTTCTTACCTGGTAGTTTTGTGTAGTGGCTGGAGGTGGTGGGGGCGGTGCTTCTTGTTGTCTCTGGGTGTAACCATAGTCCGTGGCTGTGTGCGCAGCGGGGTAGCCTCCATAAGCGGCAGCTGTTGCAGCAGCTGCGACAGCTACAGGAGCAGGCCTGGCAACCGCAACTGTAGCAGCTGCTGGGGCATAGGCAGCGGTAACTGTGTGAGCAGCTACCGGGGCCTGATGGACAGTGTAGCTAGCAACTGTAGTTGGATGAGAGTAGGCTACACCCGAAGCTGGCTGCTGGCTATAGTGTGGAGTAGAAGAATAAACATAATACAATTTATTAAAAACTAGGAACTTAATCAACTTAAATAAAAAGTGTTTTTTCAAGGAATTTACTCATGGACTGCAAAAACCCCAGTATTTTATTTGAACTTAACCTCCCAATTAATACCATATTTGTTGTTATACATTTTTCATTGCTTAATTTCAATACATTAGATAATCACACATTATGTTTCAGATCACAGATCAGATCACAAAGCAGGGAGGACAAACTGGAATAAGAAGCAGTATTAGGAGGAAATGAAGTTTATCAACCTTGAAATTTAAAAAAATATATTTGTTGTACCTAAAGTTCTTTATTAAGCTCTACAGTTGTTTTTTTAAATCTCTACAAAGAGATGTTAAGAAAAATACTGTATTCTAACTCCAATTATGGAAAACATGTAAGGTAAAAACTATTGCCCAATTGACTTAAGAAATACTTCTGCTCTATCTAGGCAGTGGTTCTCAACTGGGGGAGATTTTGCCGCCAAACCCTCTTGCCCTGCACCCCGGGGACATGTGGCCATGTCTGAAGTTATTTTTGATGGTCAAACTGCGAGAAGTTGGTAGTGGGTGATGAGTGCTACTGACAACTAGTGGGTAGAGGCCAGTGATGCTGTTCCATACCCTACAATGCACAGGAGACTACTCACAACAGAGAATTATGCAAAGAGGGTCAGTAGTGCTGAGGTTGAGAAATACTGCTCTAGGGTACAAAACCTACAATGCAGAATCTATTATTTTAGATAAAATTTTCTAGATTACAGACATAATTTCACTATGCATACTTATTTTTCTCTTTAAAATGTAGATGTTGCAAAAGAAGACCTAAGTCAGATATTTTGCAATCATAACCAGTTAAACCTCAAAGAGGCAAAATTTTTAAATAATTTTTACTTTAACCTTTACATTGAAAGCCCATGTCACATACTAGTAAACCAAGGCCTAAAGACAGCATATTAAGTTTATTTGTTGTCCTATGATCTCTGAATAATACACTCACAATTAGTTCTAAAGCTTTATTACCAAGACAGAACTGCCTCCTTGAAAAAATGAGAGCTCCAAGAGTTATTTAGCTGACCATAGCTATAATGAGTCAAGAATAAAACACAGAATTCTTCACTTGCACTCACAGTATCATAGAAACATGGCATAGAATTAAATTTTGAGACCATCGTATTTTAACTGATATTACGGAATCACTGATAATTAGAAATTATTAAAAGGGAATCAATATAAAGTTTACAAGTTCATGTAAAAAGTGGAGGACCTGGGGACATTCAGTCTAGAAAAGGTGATATGATTAGCTGCCTTCTAATAGACGAGACTTACTCCATGCTGCTCCAGAGAACAGAACTAGAACCAATGGATGGAAGGGTGGCAGAAGTCAGCCCAATATGAAAAAGAAAAACACACACACAAAAAACTTAGAACAGAGTTCAAAGAAACTCTTAATTTCTATTTGGATGAGGTTTTCCATTTTTGATGTTAATATATATGCCAATTATAAGACAGGCAAAGGAAGTTTCAATTGTAATAGTGGGAAATTGGTTTGGAATTGACATTTTCTATGGATAATTTCACATCCTTAATTCTCTCTCCCTATATTTGTCCTATTGAATCAAAAGCAGGGTGGGGATAGAATAGAAATGTCAAGTCAATTAGGCAGGCCATTTTCTTATACTGTCTCTTATATAACTAAGAGGCCCTGTGACTCAGGATGCGATGACCATATGCTCTGTCACAGCATAATTATTAGTAGTACTCTCACTCTCCTATGTGTCTCAGTATGAACAAGAGATTTTACAAGAAACCATATAAGAAAATGCCAGTGCATTTAGCAATTACCATATATCTCTCTAAGGCTGCTTAACCTAACTCTACTCTAGATAGCCAGGTGCCCACCCATCATCTGGACTGACCACATCCTCCACAAAAGCATCCAGAACAATGATAATCCAGTCCCAGTTCCCAGGGGAGTCAAGGCTAGGGCAGGTGACTGCTTGCTGTTCAGAATAAAGATCCTCTCGGCTGTTGTCTTAGACCCATCTGGGAATTTCTCTTTCAGTTTCAAATATCCTTGGAAAATCTGTCCTTTACACGACATAGATGACCAGACTGGACTCTGCCAATTCAATTAAGTATTCAGTGATAAGTCTAAATAAATAAGTTAGTTTTTTAAAAATCCAGGTCAAATCAATTTCAAATTCATTTAAATTTTGTCAAAGTGGAAATAGTTTAAATCAAGGGTGTGTTTTTTTTGCCTAGCTTTGGATAAAAGGTGTTAAATTATATCCCTACATAAAATGTAAGACTTACTATCTTTAAATTATTTCTTAAATAAAGCAGAATATAAAGTAAATAACCCAAATCTTGTGCCATAAAAATACATTTGTGGCCCTGGCTCATTGGCTATAATATTGGCCTGTGCACCAAAGGGTCTCAGGTTCGATTCTCAGTCAAGGGCTTGTATTTAGGCTGCAGGTTCAATGCCCGGTCGGGGCACATGCAGGAGGCAATCAATCAATGTGTCTCTCACACTGTTATTTTTCTCTTTCTACCTCACCTTCCCCCTCCTTCCCATTCTATGAAAATCAATGGGGGTAAATACATTTGTGAAATATGGGAAGACTTTCATTTACTAACCATCCAGTACAGTGGAAGCTTCTATTTAGATAATTATATCCTTTGTTAATAAGTTAAATCTAATCAGCTGTAGTCAGTTTTTAACCAGAACAAATAAATTAATAAATGATTAAACAAACATAAAAAGGTGGGTAAAACGGTTAAGAGACCTGAGGTTTTGGGGGCGCGCGGGGGGGGTCCCCTGCGTGTGTCCAACATGCTGTAGAGAAGTGCTATTTCTCTCCGGACCATTTCCCAGGCCACTGCATGATGTTCATCCACAACTGCCAGGTGTTCAGGTTTTGTAAATCCAAATGTCATAGAAACTTTAAAAGAAAGTGCAATCCTCCCGAGGTCAGGTGGACTAAAGCATCCCATAAGGCAGCTGGTAAAGAACTTACAGTGGATAATTCATTTGAATTTTTAAAAAATGTAGAAACGAACCTGTCAAATACCATTGAGTGCTGTGAATAAATGACTGATGCAATGAAGAGCTGAAGAGATTAAACAGCGACATCAAGCTAAATTTATAATGAACAAGTTAAAAAAAAAAATGAACTACAGAAAGCTCAATGCATCAAAGAAGTCAAGCAAAACATTTCTCTCACCCAGGTCCCTTTTGCATGCAAAGGAAAGCAGCTGGAAGACAACGTGATAAACTACAAGAGGAAGTGGATATGAAAGTTATTTCTGATAATCTTACTGTTTTAACTATTTCTATGAGCACATTGGAAAATCTCCTTTAGAGACTTAGATGCTCTTAAGTTATTGATTTATTTTTTACATAAGGTGACTCGAATAAAAGGGAATTAAAAGTACATTTACAGCCGAAACTGGTTTGGCTCAGTGGATAGAGCGTTGGCTTGGGGACTGAAGGGTCCCGGGTTCGATTCCAGTCAAGGGCATGTACCTTGGTTGCGGGGACATCCCCAGTAGGGGGTGTGCAAGAGGCAGCTGATCGATGACTCTCTCTCATCGATGTTTCTAACTTGCTATCTCTCTCTCTTCCTCTCTGTACAAAATCAATAAAAAAATATATTAAAAAAAAGTACATTTACATTGCTATCTTCAGATCAAATGGATGTTACACTGCATTTCAATGTTAAACATTCAATGATATACTTATGTAAATAATGCATATTCTGTAGATACTAAGTGAACTGTGGACATAAAATGATTATGCCACTAAGATAATAGCATCAGACATATTTATGTAATAATAATGACAAACATTCATGGCTAGTGATATGTAAAATAAAATTTTCTTTGTACTTAAAAAATGTTAAGAAATAACTGAGGGCCGAAACCGATTTGGCTCAGTGGATAGAGCGTCGGCCTGCGGACTCAAGGATCCCGGGTTCGATTCCGGTCAAGAGCATGTACTCTGGTTGCAGGCACATCCCCGGTAGGGGGTGTGCAAAAGGCAGCTGATCGGTGTTTCTCTCTCATCGATGTTTTGGACTTTCCATCCCTCTCCCTTCCTCTCTGTAAAAAATCAATAAAATATGGCCGAAACCGGTTTGGCTCAGCAGTAGAGCATCGGTCTGCGGACTGAAAGGTCCCAGGTTCGATTCTGGTCAAGGGCATGCACTTGGTTGCGGGCACATCCCCGGTAGGGGGTGTGCAAGAGGCAGCTGGTGGATGTTTCTCTCTCATCGATGTTTCTAGCTCTCTATCTCTCTCCCTTCCTCTCTGTAAAAAAATCAATAAAATATATATTTTTTAAAATCAATAAAATATGTATTTTTAAAAAAAGAAATAACTGAGGAAATAGGGGGGAAAGGAGATATAAGTACTACTATATGTAATACTTTAAACAAAAAATTTTTTAAATAAAATAAAGCGAAAACTTAAAAAAAATAAAATGTGATGCCTTGAAAATAAATAAATAAATAAATAAATAAATAAATAACCGAGGAATCAGACATAAAATGAAGGGTTTTTCTCTTGAAAAGAGAAAAAGGATTAAGGGAATTGTTAATATTAAAGAATAAAATCATTTTATATTCTTGGATTTAACCTGGAGATTAAATCCATCTGCTTACCAAAAAGTGAAGCCAACCAGAGGGCTTACCAAAATAGTTAGCCAACCAATCTGCCCTCACCGGTTTGGCTCAGTGGATAGAGCGTCAGCCTGCAGACTTAGGGTCCTGGTTTGATTTCGGTCAAGGGCACGTGAGGGCTTAATCACCAGTAGGGGGCATGCAGGAGGCAGCCAATGAATAATTCCCTCTCATCACTGATGTTTCTATCTCTTTCTCCCTCTCCCTTCCTCTCTAAAATCAATGAAAATACATTAAAAAAAAAAAAAAAAGAAAGAAAAAAAAGAAAAGAAAAGAATGACCCTGTGGA